GCAACAAGTTGGGTTATCCTTGTTGGTTAATGTCCGAGAGCCACAGGCCATGTTATTTGTGGCTGCCCCTAAAAGAACCTCAAGTACTCATTGCTCTACACAAAAGCTGCTGAGAGGTCTCAGGTTACCAGCTGTGTAAGGAGGCAATGGTACCACAGCTGAATTGTCATCCTTCTCATGATGAGATGCTGTCTTGAAATTCTGAAGGAACTTTCTGTTTGGTGACTGACCTTATGTGGCCCAGGAAGTAGAGGAAGCATTTTTTTTTAACCTCTCAGTGAAGATCAATACGAGCCCCTGAAGGCCATCTGCCAAGACCATGGGCTTTTCCCCAGCAGGGAGAAGAGCAATTCAACTAGGCAGATACTTCTTTCTTTTTTTTCAGGTTGAAAATTAATTTGTGGCTAGTATTCTTGCCCTGGGAGAGGGGACAGGGGGGAATGACATAGACATGACACAGATGCACATGTGCATGTGTACACACACACACACTATGAGCAACAGCTGCAGGGGAGAAGCTGCAGAAACTACAAGGAAGGAAAAACACCAGTGAGGGAGGAAGAGATGCTGGTACAGGTGTGAAATGAGGGCAACGTTGACTGTTGTTGCTGTGTGAAGGGAGAGGAGAATGGGATGATGGAGGATGAGCAGAAAAACATTTGAAAAGAATGCACTGTCCTCCCCTCCCAAACACACTCTCCTGTGAACACCCCACTTGAGTGACAGCCATATGCCTCCCTTAAGTGCTCAAGAGCTGCCCAGGGCCCTGGCTGGTGTGAGGTGCTGGTCTGAGGTAAGCCAGAGCTTGGGCCCAAGATGGGCACCTCTTGCCAATGGCAGCAAAACAGCTGCTAGGCAGGGAGGCCCCACAGCACATGCAAAACCCGTGGGGATTTTGATTTTTTTCTTTTTTTTGGGGGGGGTGTGTGTGTGTAGGAAACCCTAGCTGTACTTGCATATAGGGGCCAGAACGGGCAGGTATGCCCTGAGACCTTGCATCTTGCTGCCTGGTCCTGGGTGTCTTCCCTTCTGACACTACCTCACCAATAGCCACTGCCTCCTAGCACCACAAAAATGATGAAGCAGCACAGCGTGGTGGGACACAGGGTTGTGCATGGGACTGAGAAATAAGGTGGAAAAAGACAGCTGGAAAAATCTTGCCAAACATGCCACAGGGTCAGTGTTTCCGAGAGTGACTTTTTATTTAAATGTGAGTGCTTTGTGGCTGCCCTGGGGACGAAGACAGAGAATGTGGCTTTGGGGTGCAAAGCAGTGCAGCTGGAAATGCAAAAGGCACAGGCTTGCTTAGTAAATCTGAAACGAAGAGGAAATAACAAAGAGCGTGCCAGACCTCAAAAATACCCACCAGCTTTGCTTTACAAATCAAAGGTGTATTTTTTCGTAAATGTGAATGCTTTGTATTTGCTGTAAGTGATATTTAAGCCCCACTTTTCACTGTTTATCTAAGCAAGAAATTAGGTTATTTTGATGATTAGAAGCACGAAGATATTCAAGGCTTAGGATGGCTTGTTTTTACTGAGAGATACATGACATCAAAGCTGAGACCTCCATATTTAACTCACAAGGTCTGATCACGCTGCTACTGCCTACTCCCTAGAGCTGTCACCCCTCCTCATCTCCTGAGGGCCCCACGGAAGAGGACTTCCATTATGGACACCTTGGCGACTAAGCTCTGCAGGCTGCCTGTGCTTTTAGTATCACAGGATCCCAAGTAAAGCCTCCGTTTGAATAAACACTGAGCTTTGCCTTGCACCTCTAGGTTCACTAGGCAACTGAAGAGACGCAGAGAGTTCCCCAGTGCCCCATGGTCAGGTCCAGCAGCACATGTGCAGCAGCTCACCGGGACCAGTGCCCAGTGGCACCCAGACTGTCCAGATCTCCAGCTGTTTCCATCTCACTTACCTCTCTGCTGGTGAAGAGCCAAGTGTGCACGCAGGCTTGCTGGCTAGCGAGCTGTCACTGCAGAGGTCTCGATCCAGGCACCAAAACTGCAAGCAGCTTGAATCAAAACAGAACCAGGCAGGCTCTTTGGCTTCTTGTTCACCCAAATCACCGCCGTCCCCTACCACGCCATGGCTGATTCTATGTCTGTCACACTGCAGTTCATCTCCCCTCCTTTCTCACTTCCTGATGCACTTCTGGCTGGCCACAAAGCGTGAACTTTGCTATCTAAAGCTGATAAGCTAAAACACATCCTATGAAAGCAAATGCAATTGTGAAAGAAGCAATACCCAGGTGTTCTTGCAACTGAGGAGACGTGCCCTGGGTCATAGTGCCATAGTGCTTGTCTTTGCTCCCATGCTAACTCAGCCACCCTCAGGACTGATAGGGGAAAATTAAAATGTACCCTTCCCCAAAATATTGCCAAACAAGAGGTGGAAGTGAAATACGGGAAGTGAGAGCAAAGTTGATTAAATCACAGTAATACAATCCACTGAGTGCAAAGCCTCAGAGTCCTGTCAATCCCATGGGCTTGGGTGCTTTGAGGCCGAGCTCCTGCCCAGGGCCCAGCTGCACACCGTTGGCATGTGGCAGGGACCTGAAAAGAACCGAGCTCTGAAGGGGTGTCAGTGCCCTCAGCAGGCAAAGGCATGTTTGCCATAAATGTCAGTCCCTGTCATTCAGGGCTACAAGAGGCATGGTGCTAAAAATGTATAAGGGCTGATTTAGCAGGACATCTGTGACCTAGCACTGCCAAGTGTAGTTGGGAAGGGACCTGCCTTTCTGCAAAGCCCATCTGGCACTCTGTTGCTTCAAGTCCTGTTTCTGCTTTGCCAGTCCCAGCACACCTGGAAGAAGACATGGGTCATTGGGACACTCCTAATCCTACCGTCACCCTTCCCCAGGAGCAGCTGCCCCAGGAAGAAGGTGCCGTGCCTGTGGGCTCCCTCTTTCTCTGCAGTCTTTGCTTGGCTCCTCTGCCTGCTGGCTGTTGCTGCTGGTGTTTGACTTTCTCACTCCCTGCCTGCCTTGTTCTGCCATCACTGCCTCCTTATTCAGGGAGTGACACACCAAAGGATATATGTTCATGCTGCTCATAAATCCTTGGAGGGTACAATAGCACTGATCTCACCCTGCTCCTTTTTAGTGCCTCTCTTTTTTAAGCAGATCCCTTTTCTCACTTCCTAGTTGCTGGGATCTTTGTTCTCACAGCTTTTTGTGTCTCTTCAGTTCCTGTCAAGGCTCTCGTACTGGTAAAGCCTTGAAGATATACCAGGGGTGTGTGCATCCTTCTCCCTTTGCAAAAGGAGTCTCTGACGTCCTCTGTGGGAACTTTCCCCTCCCCTCCGGCCCTCACACCCCCCCGTCCCATGTGCATACACCTGGCTGAGCCTGGCAGTCCTGGCTTTACCCTGTGTGTCAGAAGAGGATGACACAGTGGCGCGTAGCCTAGCCCGTGAGCCCGTGAGCCCCACAGCATCCCTCACCCAGCCAGGTTCACTCACCTCACTAGGTCTTGGTGCATCAGCACACGAATTCTGTCTCCCCTTGCCCAGGTGGGCTCACACCTCTGCTCCTTGCTGTCTCTTGGAGGCTCAACTTGTTGGGAAGAGCAGCGCAGCCCCCAACGTTTCCTCACTGCTGTCTGAGTCGACAGCAGGTAAGACCAGATTACTGGGGTGTGTGTTGGAGGCTACACCCTGATGCTGCAGATCCCAACACGCCTGCCTCCCCGGAGTGCTGACTCCAGAAAGCAGGAGCAAGGACCCAACAGAATAAGGGACGCAGGGAGCTGGGAAGGCAAGGAGAGTGGTGGAAAACGTGCTCCAACAGAGGGGCTGCTCGGGTTTGAAAGGATCACTGATAAATCCCAGTGCTCTTCAGACCTCTTTGTGCAGGCAAATGTGGAAGAGCACAGCAAGGGGGTGAACCCGCATGCAGGGCTGTGGTGCAAGTACCATAGCAGGGCCAGAGCAGCCGTGTTTCACTTTCTGAATGATTCAGACAGGAAAGGCAGAAACCTCCAGGCTGCTGAGGAACTTCACCTTCCAGGGGGGTGGGGACAGCTCACACTTCCCAGGCCTGCTGGGGGGAATGGCAGGCTTTTCTCCCAGGACATTTGAGCTCCCCAGTCACACAACTCACGTTTTCCTGGACTCCCAGGGGCTCTTAGGAAAGGGTTACCCACTGAGGGGCAGGCACCCCATTATGCCTGCTTAGGAGAAGGGCAAGAACTGT